GTCCCAAATCCTGCGTCCCCAGGCCGGAAGTTCTCTCCTTTTGGAAAACATGGCAGCACCTATGGATCCAATTTGATCCCTGTTTCTCGGTGTGTAACAGTTTCGTGGATCATATTTCTGTGTTGCGCGGATCCATGTTCCGTTTATGAGAAACCAAGGGTTCCACTTATTTCCTGGAATAAATCAGTAATGGGGTGAAGAGAGGGGGGAAAGAGGGAGACAATGGGGAAGGGAGAGCGGGAGAGAGAGGGGGACGGAGGTGGGAGGGGAATCCAGGAGGACAAGTCAGGGAGGGAGAAAGGGAGGAGAGAAGAGGAGAGGGTGGAGGAGGCGGAGGCAGGAGGCAGGAGGAGGCAGGAGAGAAGCGGATGGAGGAGGCAGGGGGGTGGAGAAGGCGGGAAGGGGGAGGTGAAGGAAGAGGGAAGAGGAAGAAGAGGAGGACGAGGAGGACGAAGGCAAGCAACATGTAACGGTCGGAAGCTCGGACGCCACAAAGGGCATAGCTACCTCTCCGAAACCTTCCCTTTCCATAACATGTGGGTGTTCGAGCGCCACAGAAGGCCTGGCCATCACACAAGCTCCTCCCATAACATACGGTTGCTCGAACGACACACCGGGCCCGGCCAACTCCCGCATCTCCTCCAATAACACGTGGCACGCTCCGTTTCGAAACGAGCGCAACATACATCCGTTCACTTGAACCGCACGGCGCTTCCCATATCCTGGGCTCAAGAGGAAAACCTTTCGACCCGCGTATGGACGGTCGAAGGCAACATCAACCCACAGGTCCGCACAGCCTGCGCCGTGCCAGGGGTCACAAGCACGAGGGGGCCCCTCGTGGACGACTTCTTCGCGAGTTCCCATCGTCAGCATCATCACCGAGTTGACCATCAATGCGACGATGATGATGTTGATGTTGATTTTGTTGTTGATGGTGATGATGATGCTGATCATCATGGTGGTGATGATGATAATGTTGCTGATGGTGATGATGATGATGATTGTGATGGTAATGCTGATGATGCTGATGACGATGACGATGACGCTGATGATGACGATGACGAGGATGATGATGATGATGATGATGCTGATGATGTTGTTGATGATGATGATGCTGCTGGTGATGGTGATGGTGATGGTGATAGAGATGATGATGACGATGCTGCTGCTGCTGCTGCTGCTGCTGCTGATGATGATGATGATGATGATGATGATGATGCGGGGTAGGGGGAGGAGGAGGAGGAGGAGGAGGAGGAGGAGGAGAAAGAGGAGGAGGAGAGGGAGGACGAAGAGGGGAAGCAGGATGAGGAAGAGGAAGAGGAGGGGGAGGAGGAAACAAAGTAGCCAGGCCGAGCTAGTCAGAGGGCCCCGCCCAGTCCCACCCTCCCCCGCGCCAATAACAGAATACTCAAATATGGCGCAATCTGATTTTGGGATTGGAGCGCCTTCCCACCGAGCGAACGGAAGGCGCTCGCCCGGGCCCACGCTCCCGACGACTTGGCGACGGGACACCGATGCTGGCCGCGCAGAGGCGGGAGCTGCAAAACTTCCGCTGCGCGCGGCGAAGACTAAGCATGCGCCGGGCCGACACAACACTACCACTTTCACTCACAACCTGCGCGGCACTTCGGCGAGGCCGGCATTTCGCCCCTTCTCGCGCGGCCCCGCTGTCGCTGTCGCTTTCATGCGACTCGGCACATGAATCCTGGGCCGCGCCCGCTTGAGAACGCCACTTCCGAGCGAAATGCGCACAGAGCTTGGGCGAGGGCGACGAGTCGCCCGTTCGCGCGGGCTACTCAAAATAGACGAATGAGAAATTTGCGCCGCGCCGAGGCTGGAACGCCACTGTCAGGCGAGCCTGCGCGGCGCCAAGGCGAGAGCAACATTTTCGTCCGCTCGGCCGTCGACGCAGTGGCGTGCGAAAAATGCGCGCCGCGTCCCAGCGGGTGCTCAATTTCGCGGGAACGTGGGCGCGGCGCAGGATGTGGGAGCGACATGTCGGCCTTTTGTTCAGGATGTGCACCCAATTCCATTCCTGCCACGCATGCTGCAACGTGGGCAACATGAATAATGTCTATGTTGAAAACAGAAACATCACATGTGCAACGTTTTCACCGTTCACGACAAATCCCAAACCCAATTACGCAACCGAGGAACCCCACATACTTAATTTAAATCTTATGTGTTTGCTTAAGCTTATGAAATATGCGCAATTCTGCGTTCTCAGCCCTCGTCGCGAATGATCCAATATGTGTCGTCCAACGCCATATTGCTTGAACCTCCTCCCTCTTCCTAGCCTTCTATCCTCCATCGAAGACAGATTCGAGCCAGCCAGCGGCCGCGGTGAGGGACCACCCCCTGCGCACCCTCTATGGTGTCGAGAAAGTACCACGCCTGCTATGCCCTGGGCGACCGTCGTGCATAGCGGCCGCGGTGAGGGACCACCCCCTGCGCAGCCTCTATGGTGTCGAGAAAATGATGCGCCTGCTATGCCCTGGACGACCGTCGTGCATAGCGGCCGCGCTGAGGGACCACCCCCTGCGCACCCCCGCCTGCTATGCCCTGGACGACCGTCGTGCATAGCGGCCGCGCTGAGGGACCACCCTCTGCGCACCCCCTGTGGTGTCGAGAAAGTGCCACTCCTGCCACGATCTGCGAGCGTGTCACGGATAGAGGCCGCGCTGAGGGACCACCCTCTGCGCACCCCCTGTGGTGTCGAGAAAGTGCCACTCCTGCCACGATCTGCGAGCGTGTCACGGATAGAGGCCGCGCTGAGGGACCACCCTCTGCGCACCCCCTGTGGTGTCGAGAAAGTGCCACGCCACGAGCGAGCGTGTCACGGATAGAGCGTCTGCGCACGGATAGAGCGGCACGCCGCTGAGGGACCACCCTCTGCGCACCCCCTGTGGTGTCGAGAAAGTGCCACTCCTGCCACGATCTGCGAGCGTGTCACGGATAGAGGCCGCGCTGGGGACCACCCTCTGCGCACCCCCTGTGGTGTCGAGAAAGTGCCACTCCTGCCACGATCTGCGAGCGTGTCACGGATAGAGGCCGCGCTGAGGGACCACCCTCTGCGCACCCCCTGTGGTGTCGAGAAAGTGCCACTCCTGCCACGATCTGCGAGCGTGTCACGGATAGAGGCCGCGCTGAGGGACCACCCTCTGCGCACCCCCTGTGGTGTCGAGAAAGTGCCACTCCTGCCACGATCTGCGAGCGTGTCACGGATAGAGGCCGCGCTGAGGGACCACCCTCTGCGCACCCCCTGTGGTGTCGAGAAAGTGCCACTCCTGCCACGATCTGCGAGCGTGTCACGGATAGAGGCCGCGCTGGGGGACCACCCTCTGCGCACCCCCTGTGGTGTCGAGAAAGTGCCACTCCTGCCACGATCTGCGAGCGTGTCACGGATAGAGGCCGCGCTGGGGGGCCACCCTCTGCGCACCCCCTGTGGTGTCGAGAAAGTGCCACTCCTGCCACGATCTGCGAGCGTGTCACGGATAGAGGCCGCGCTGGGGGACCACCCTCTGCGCACCCCCTGTGGTGTCGAGAAAGTGCCACTCCTGCCACGATCTGCGAGCGTGTCACGGATAGAGGCCGCGCTGGGGGACCACCCTCTGCGCACCCCCTGTGGTGTCGAGAAGTGCCGCGCCTGCCACGCTCTGCGAGCGTGTCACGGATAGAGGCCGCGCTGAGGGACCACCCTCTGCGCACCCCCTGTGGTGTCGAGAAAGTGCCACTCCTGCCACGATCTGCGAGCGTGTCACGGATAGAGGCCGCGCTGAGGGACCACCCTCTGCGCACCCCCTGTGGTGTCGAGAAAGTGCCACTCCTGCCACGATCTGCGAGCGTGTCACGGATAGAGGTCGCGCTGGAAGACCACCCTCTGCGCACCCCCTGTGGTGTCGAGAAGGTGCCATTCCTGCCACGATCTGGAGCGTGTGCTCACTGCGCACCCCTTGGTGTCGAGTGACTCCTGCCACGATCCGAGCGGATAGAAGCCGCGCTGGGGGGCCACCCTCTGCGCACCCCCTGTGGTGTCGAGAAAGTGCCACTCCTGCCACGATCTGCGAGCGTGTCACGGATAGAGGCCGCGCTGGGGACCACCCTCTGCGCACCCCCTGTGGTGTCGAGAAAGTGCCACTCCTGCCACGATCTGCGAGCGTGTCACGGATAGAGGCCGCGCTGAGGGGCCACCCTCTGCGCACCCCCTGTGGTGTCGAGAAAGTGCCATTCCTGCAACGATCTGCGAGCGTGTCACGGATATAGGCCGCGCTGGGGGACCACCCTCTGCGCACCCCCTGTGGTGTCGAGAAAGTGCCACTCCTGGCACGATCTGCGAGCGTGTCACGGATAGAGGCCGCGCTGGGGGACCACCCTGATCTGCGAGCGTGTCACGGATAGAGGCCGCGCTGGGGGACCACCCTCTGCGCACCCCCTGTGGTGCCGAGAAAGTGCCACTCCTGCCACGATCTGCGAGCGTGTCACGGATAGAGGCCGCGCTGTGCTGCTACGCACGCATGGCAAGCGCGTGTCTCATGTGCGCGCCTGCCGTGCGTGCGTGCTGCCATGTGCGTGAGGTGAGAAAGAAGGAGAAGGAGAGGGAGGAGAAAGAGAAGGAGAAGGAGGAGACGCGGGTGAGACGCGGAAGGGAAGAAAACCAGAACCCCACGAAGCATGTGGGGAAAAACCTGAACCCCACGAAACATGTGGGGAATTGAGTATGTGGGGGTGCTGCGCTGTGCTGTGCTGTGCTGAGCTGAGCTGAGCTGAGCTGTGCTAAGCTGTGCCGTGCTGAGCTGAGCTGAGCTGAGCTGTGCTGAGCAGTCCTGTGATGAGGAGGGGAGGTGTGAGGTGAGACGCGGGTGCGACGCGGCAAGGAAGAAAACCAGAACCCCACGAAGCATGTGGGGAATAAGTACTGCCGTTATGGCTTACCTGTCAGCGTCAAGGATAATCGGGAGGAGTGGACGGAGAAGGAGGATGAGGAGGAAAGAGACCGCGGCCTGCCCGAAGAACTCCCTGGCCTCCTTCGCCTTAAGTCCGCTCAGGCCTGGGGCCGAGGGTCCCGAAGCACGGGCGGAAGCTGGAGGTGAACGAAACACGGCACGGATGCGAACAGAAGAGTTGCAAGAGCAGGAAGAAGCAGGATCTGGAGCCAACAGGAGGAGGAAGCAGAAGAGGAGAAATGCGGATGCAGGAAGGGATGCCGTTTATTATAACTCTCCCCGTCCCCTCCTGGACTCCTCCCTGGCTCCTCACCCAATCTGCTCGACCTGGCCGCCTGGGCCCGCCCTCCCGACCCGCCCGTTAGGGTCTACCCGCACAATCAGCCCGTCTGGTTCTGCCACGTGTCTGCTGCTCCTAGCCCCCGTCCTGTTAATCTCTCTCGTGCTCCATCCTTCTCCCCCCCATCCATCCGTCCTCCCTTCCCCTGTTTTAGGGACTGCACCCATTACACGTGGCAGGTAAGGAAGATATATCCCCAAAGGGCTACCGTCGAAAACGAAGAGGGCGGGTATCGAGGGTTTGGGATATACGTGTTGAATGGCACGCGAGCAGATAAGAGCGAAGCGTCTGACAATTATTGGTGCTGTTGTTGTTCCTTTACTCCGGCGCGTCCCGCCGCTGCCCGCACGCCGTCTGATCCCTTGCGGCCGCTGACCACAAAAAAGCTGTTGTTTTGTTCCTCAAGGGAATGAACATGAAAGAACAACACACGAGGGGGGGAGGGAGGGGGAACAGGAAACAGGCAGGGGAGGAGGAGAGGTGGAGCCTGCACGCCGCAGGCGGTCAGATCGGTCAGCGCGCCAGCTCGAGCTCGGAGCAGGGGGCGGGGGCTGGTGGAGAACGAGAGGGAGGTCCTGCAGAGAGAGGAGGGTGGTGATGACGTCGATGAATGATGATGGCGATGTCGATGTCGATGGTGAGCTGGAGGAGGGAGGGAAGACGAGGAGGAAGAGGAGGACTGCAGTGGGGGCGGCGGCGAGCGCACCCGGGGCCTGCGGGGACCATGAGCGGGAGAGGCACGATGGCGCCAGGGGGCAGCACGGGGGCCCCCTGCGGCGCCGGCAAGATGATAGGATGAGGTGGGAGGGGGGGGGAGGGGGAGGAGGAAGGGGGGGAGGGAAAGGGGGGAGACGTGGACGAGGAGGAGGAGGAGAAGATTGATGGGCACGGAAGGGGGGGGGAAGGGTGAGGGGCATTGGGGGAAGAGGGAGAGGATGGAGAGGATGGTGACCAGAGCAGACCCAGGATGCATCAACAACGCTGCCATGCGCCGTTCGGTCGAAAACTCTCTCGTCGTGCACGTCCCTGCAAGCATTCCACTTTGCCGTGGGAAACGACCCCTTGATGAAATATGGGCACGCGGCTGTTGCGTGTGTCTACTTCCGACCATCACCTTTGAAGAACTATCAGGTGAGAACCCATTTTGTAAAATGACTCGCCCTCCATACATGTACGGTAGGTTCGTGCGGCATCGGCGCGCGCAATAATTTTTGACACCGCGTCGATCGTTCAACCTTGAACCGATCGCGGACCCGATCGTTCAAGGTTGAATTCGTCGGGTCCAATGGCGTCACCGAGCCCCTCAGTGCTTCCGCGTCGAAGAATTCAACCTTGAACGCCTTCGCCAGCGTCGCTGGCGCGCAACGCCACACGAACTACCGTAGCTGCTGTCCAATGTTACACATCTGGTCAAATAGGTGGGAAGTCTCAAGCACAAGTCCTATGCTTGAAAACGAGCCGCACTCCATGTGTGAAACAATTGTAAGCTTGTCTGATTCAGTGAGCGCGGCGCTAATGCGAGAACCACATTTTGAAACCAATTCGCCCTCCATCCGTGCTGCTATGAGAAACTTCAACCAAAGCATATGCGCGGCGAGACAATTATATCCACGTTTTGAAACAATTCGCTCATGATCCGTCTAACGGCGGCTGAATTGTTCAAGGCGAATGCGCGCGACGCGAACACGAGCACCACATGTTGCAAGCCGTTCGTCCTCCATCCGTGTGGCCATTGCACATGTCGAAGCAGAGCGTGTGCGGCGCGAATGCGAGAGGCGCATTTTGACGACGGCGAGGAAGGAAACGAGGACGAATAATAGGGAGGAGAAGGAGGCGCAGGAAAATAACGAGGAGGATGAGGAGGATGAGAAGGTCGAGGGCGCAGTTCTCGTCCTCGCCCTCCTCCGGCTCATCCTGCTGCTGAAACTCCTCCGCCTCTTGCTCCTCCCTCCTCTCCGTCCTCCTTCTCTCGAGGGAAGGCCACTTGAGGCAACGCGGCGGCTCTCCCGCACTGCCCACATCCGATCAAACCTGTCTCTGGACCCCTCCCGGCGCCCTCCCGGGGCCCATCCTGACCTGCTTTTCGAAGCGGATCCACCCCTGGCGACGAGAAGCCTCCAGACATGATACAAGGACGAACAACGCCAGGGAGGGCCGCCACTGTTGCCTCGACTTGCCCTGATCCGATCCTCCTCCTGCCTCTCCACTCGGTACCCCTCGTCCTTCGCGCGTGCTCTTCTTGCCCCCATTATCCTTCCACCGCCCGTTCTTGTTCTCGGCGCGCTTGGGCATTCGGGTCGACGACGACGACGAGACTCTGAACATCTACCAAGAACGTCCGAACAACTCCAAGAGCCTCCTGAAACCTGTCAAAACATACCGCAATGCTCAGAAGATTCCCAGAGTCCTCGAATACTTCGGCGACGACAGAACCTTCGCAACGTCCGCCTCTGGGCCCATGCTGGAACACGACCTTCTGGAATGGATCCTCAATTCGGAGGTGGCTTTGGCCGTGGCGACGAGAAGGCCCCCCCAAAGGCCCAGAAGAGGAGGCCGACCGACGACGACAACGACGAGACCAGACACCAAAATCTGCCGACTCCTTGGGGCCACTCGGCGTGTGAGAAATAAGACGAAGCCAAGGCAAAGATAAAATCGGGCAGAGGTTAAATCGAGAATCTCTGAGATCCGGCGGCTCTGGAGGATGCATCGGGCACCGCGGTCTGCTCAGAGCGCTCCAGAACGCTCTGAGAGCGTTCCGAAACGCTCTGGAATGGATTTATCCTCGTCCTAGCCCCGTCCGAAGATAGCTGCCCCTCTCCAGACAGGTGCTGGGGTGGAGCCGGTGGGCTCATCTGCTCCAAAAGTGCTCCCCGACGCGTTCCAATTGAAACAGATGGCTCCGCAGTGGTCCACGAGGCTTCTGGACGGCGCACGACGGCTCCAAGACGGCCCCTGGAGGGTGGGGGGCGGACAAAAACCCCAGGCGGACTCATCTGCTACAAAAATGCTTTGGACGGCATCCGATGCCTCCACAATTCCCCCAGCCGCTCCAAGACGGCCCAATATGGCCTCCACCACGCCCCAGAGAACCCCAACACGACGGAGCAACAACAGGCGTGCTGTCGTGTTGCAGAATTGTGTTGCTGGCCCGTCGTGTTTTGAACGTCGTCTCAAGATAGCAGACAGCCCAATAGGCCCCCAAGACACTCCGAAAGCGCTCCAAGAGGACTCCCAACAGGGCCCCACAAACCAAACATCGTCTCATTCCTTCCAGACAGCATTTTTCCCAACCAACCTGTGTTGTTGGGTCCTTGTTTTGAAGAGACAGCGCCCCGCGTCCTTCCTCCTCCTCCTCCTCCTCCTCCTCCTCCTCCTCCTCCTCCTCTCCTCCTCCTCCCCCTCCTCCCCCGCCTCCCTGCGTTTCACCCACCCAGTACAGCGCTTCGTGGCCCAATTGGAACTCCACCGAAGACCCCAATGGCACCGCCCGCATGCGTCAACCACCACCCAGCACAGCGCTTCGTGGCCCCATAGGGGGCTCCACCGAAGGCCCCAGTGGCACCGCCCGCATGCGTCAGCCACCACCCAATACACCGTTTCGTGGCCCCATCGGGGACCCACGGAAGGCCCCAGTGGCACCGCCCGCATGCGTCAGCCACCACCCAGTACAGCGCTTCGTGGCCCCACAAGGAGCTCCACCGAAGGTCCCAGTGGCACCGCCCGCAAGCGTGGCTCCATCGGGGACTCCACCGAAGGCCCCAGTGGCACCGCCCGCATGTGTCAGCCACCACCCAGTACAGCGTTTCGTGGCCCCACAGGGAGCTCCACCGAAGGTCCCAGTGGGACCGCCAGCATGCGTCAGCCACCACCCAGCACAGCATTTCGTGGCCCCGTAGGGGACTCCACCAGAGGCCCCAGTGGCACCTTCCGAATTCGTCAGCCACCACCCAGCACAGCGTTTCGTGACCCCGTAGGGAGTTTCGCCGAAGGTCCCAGTGGCACCGCCCGCATGCGTCAGCCACCACCCAGTACACCCTTTCGTTTCCCCGCACGGAGCTCACCGAAGGTCTCAGTGGCACCGCCCGCATGCGTCAGTCACCACCCAGCACAACATTTCGTGGGCCCATATGAGAGCTCCACCGAAGGTCCCAGTGGCACCGCCCGCGTGCGTCAGCCCCCCCCACGACTCCAAAAGACCCCCCAAAGCTCCCAGGAGGCCCCCCCCTAGGCTCCGAAAAATCTCCAAGAAGCACCGCAACAGAAGCCCAATCCACATCAGAAAGGCATCGCTCCCATCCTTCCTACGCTGCCGTATTTCTTGTCTCCTGGTCCCACCCCCACATCCCTCCCACCCCCCATGCACCCCCCGTCCTCTACAACTGCATGTTATGAATACTACTCTCTTCTCTCATCTTACTCTGTCCGGAAGATAGTCAACTCTCTCCAAATTCATTTTTGGTTGTCAAGCCGACTGTGTTCGGTGTTTAAAAATTTTGCTCCTGCTTCAGCGTGGGCTTCACTTTCGGATCGGCGCTGCGCTCCCGTCGTTCAGAATGGTGCACGTTTCTGAATCTGGGTTCTGTTTCATCATTGTCGCCCCCCTCATTTCCCCTCCTCCGCCTTCGCCTGGTCCTCCTGCTCCTCGCGCTCATTCCATTCCATCTCCTGCTGCTGCTGTTCGTCTTCGTCTTCCTCCTTCTTCATTATTTGTTTTGTCCTCCTGCTCATCCGCCACCTCCTCCTCCAGTGTACGCAGATAATTTCTTCCGATTGCGCATAACACGATGAGGTCATCTTTGGGTTCAAGGTCCGCTAAGAGGCGACCCACGACGACCTCCGAGAAACCTCGAGAGTCTCCGAGAGCCTCCGAGAACCCTCGAACACGATCGAAAACCTTGGAGCATCTTCGATTACCTGATAACGCCCCTGGCGCCGCCGCCAAGGCCAACGACCCTGAAACCTTTCCAAGACTGCGTTCTGGCCAGAAACCTCTAACGTCGAACGATGACGACGCCGATGACCTCCGAGAGCCTCTGTGTGCCGTGGTCTGTTCTCCGACGAGATCGAGGCAGAGCACTGGGGGAGCGAACTGATCTCACGTCCCTGAGGATGCCTCTTAGATGGGGTCCGAGTACAGTCAACCCGTACGGTAAGGATGCGCGGTGCGGATGCAAGGGCTTTGGAAAGCCGTGCCAATATTTTTCAAACGAGGTTGGCCAGCGAAAGTCGATAAGGATAGGCCGAAGGGGCAAGGATGCAACGGCAGCCTTGGAGAATTGCCCATCCTTACTATGCGGGTTGACTGTAGATGTGGTCGGAGGATCGCGCCGCATCGACGATGTATCGGCGATGCAGTGGGCGATGCATGGTCGATGCGTCGGTGATGCATCGGCGACGTCGACGTGAAGCGTGAAGAAAATGGGGATCCACATAGAGCCGCATCGCCGATGCATCGGCGGTGCGGCGCGATCCTCTCGCCCCGCCTGGTCGGACCCCATCTGGGCACGCCACATTCGAAGAGAGGGCGCTTACGCGAGGCCTTACGCGGGAAACTTACGCGCAAATGTCGGCGCGATCGAATGACCTGGGATTGCTCCGGGATCTACGGACCTGGGTCAATCCAAACCCCGGTCAGTCGGGCCTGCAAGATCCGGCAATTTCCTGCACGCAAGCCCAGGTCAGTGCACCCCTGGCTCTGCAGGATCCTGGCCCCCGTTTACATTGACCTCCGTCTCTCTTGAGCCCCGAGATCACGACCCTCGCACGGCCCCGGTGCCCCGGTGGCAGCGGCCGCGGCGGTTCCTCGCCCGCGCGGGCGGCGGCCGCGGCTGGCGCCGGCGCGTCGCCCGGTGGCGGGGGCGCCGGGAGCGGCCCTCGCAAGGCCATCGTCTGCGCGCCGGGGGGGGGGGCGCGGCGGGGCGTCCGGCGTCCATCGGCGGCCAGCCCAGGGGGAACATCATGTACTCTTGTCTGTGTCTTTTTGTTCGGGGGGATGAGAAGGGGCGGGCCTTCTCAGAAGGCTCGGAAGTCTCCCAGCCATCTGAACAGTTTTCTGAGCCTTCCCCGAAGACGCAGAAAACTTCTCAGAAGGCGCGGGTGCCTCTGAGAAGGCCCGTCTCCTACTGAGAAGGCGTTCGCCTTCTCATTTCCCCTACTCGCTTGTCGCCGAGTCCAGGCAGCCACGGCGGGGGGTCCCCTGGCCTGAGTTTCCAGGAGGGCCCCAAAACAACACTAAGACTGGTCGCGTGATCACATCGGCTCCAAACCAACAAAAGCACAGCTGCCCGTGTTGGGAATGAAATGACAACTCTCTTTCGCTGTATGGTTGATCATAAAACACGTGGTCGGACATCTCGGAACGATGGGGGGCCCGCCCCTGCCTCTCCAGGAGGGGCACAACATATTTAGCACCAGGACCTTCGATATCAAATAATAGCCGAGGCTTTAAACAATCCTGATCGGTCTACTGTCGAGAACATTTGCGCAGCGTGTCGCGGCGGCGGCCTCGGCGACACGTTATGCCATGCGAGGGGCTAGAGTGTCGCTCCGCTCTGCGGGGCGGGAAGCTGGGAAAAGCTCGGGACGTTGGCGCTCGATAACCAAGCCGTGGATAGCGTGTCGCGCCGCAGCGCGGTGGAGCAGAACCGGACGAGCGACACGCTACCCCAAAGTTCCTGACACTATAGTCGAGGTGTTAAGCAGTCCTGATCGGTCGATGCGTTTGTAAGGCTAATGTGTAAACACTCTGGAAGGTCAAGGCAGATCTGGCAAGATCAAGCAACATTGAGTCGGGAAATCAAATCGAAACCGAATGTGTGTCGGATCGGGCTGCATCGGCACGGAATCGACATCGAATCTGATCGGCCATCGGATCTAAAATCAGCTTGGATCTGGGCGCTGCAACAGAATCGCGGAGGCTTGCGGGGGGGCGCGGCGTCCAAACAGCCACAACTGCGCGTCCAGAGCTCCGCCGATGCGTTTTCGCTGGCTCCCGTTGGCGGGCCCCGATGGGTCCCGTTGGCGGGCCCCCGGTCTGCCCCCCATGTGCATCTACCTGCGTACCTGCGTTTTGACTGGCAAGGTGACTTGTATTTCCTGCGGTGCGGGGACATGATGACAACCATCTCAGAATGACAATGCCAAACACATGTTTTGTCCCCCGCAGCGAGATGGGCACGATTACGGTCATGACTTTGGCTTAACGTGTCGCTTCCCTGGTTTTGGCCCACCGCGCTTCGGCGCGACACGCTACCCACGTCTCAGTCACCATGTGTCAACATCTCGAATGTTTCCCAACCTCGCGCCCCGTGAAGCGGGGCGAGGCGCTGTCTGCTCGCAAAGCACGGCGGCACGCTAAGCAGAAACTCCCGACCGCAGTACTCGAACCGCGATCCTGGGCCTAAGCTGCTCCTGGGCCCAGGATGCGCCCGGACAGGGACGACTCGGGGGGTGCAAAAGGTGCCCCCTGCCCAACGCCCAACGTGCCCCCAGCGTTTCGCTGAGATTCGCGAAAGGCGGCATGGAAGCCGTGAGAATTGTTTTCCTGGAAATCTTGGGGCCCCCTTTGAGCCAGGGGCACTTTAAGCAACGCCCGAAGGTGTGTATGGCTGGCGTCCCCCCACGCTTCGATCTGCTCCCAGGCTGGCCCTGCCCCCTTCGCGCTGGCGGTCGGGCGCGCGTTCGGCGTGCACGCCCGCGCGCGGGCACCGCACCCGTGATCACTTGCAATGCGGGGGGGGGAAGTAAGGAAGGCTCGGGTTCGGGGGATTCGGGTTAATAAAAAGAGCCGACAGGACACTGGGATGGGAGGTTGAATGTGAGATGGATAAGCAATCTCCATATGATAACCTATCATGTTTCTAAAACGATAGCGAAGTGATCCACAACCCAAGCAAATATAATACCCGTGCTTGAGCCAAACAACAGCGGGACGCTCGCTACGCTCGCTGTCTCTCTCTATATATATATATACACACACTCCAACCGTCTGCTCTACTTTCAGAATCGAAGGGCGAGGAGACGAGCTGTAGCGAGTGTCGCGCTGCATCCAGATTCACCCATGGTTGCCGCGCGCTGGCCTGGCAGGCGGGGCTCCGCCACTTGCTCGGCCCCAATCAAAAAGCCGCAACCGGCAGAAAGCGCGGCGCGCGATCGAATCCGCGGGCCGCCCTGTGGACTACAAAAAGACGCTGGCGCTGCGATCCTGCATTCATGGCCCCCAACGCTACGCGCTTGCTTCGAGCAGCGCGGCCCCGCGCCTTCGAACTTCAAGCAGCGCGGCGCAGCGCAGCGCGCGCGGGGCCGCCGCGGCAATGATGGCTGCCATGCGACAAATTCGCAGCGCGCGTCCTGATCAAACTGCAAATTGCCATTGAAATGTCATGTTTGCGACGGGATACATATTTCCCACTTGAAGCTACTTTAAAACTACCTTGTCCTGCTTAAACCTTTTAGGTTGTAGTTTCTCCATTATTGGGAAAAAAAACTGCCCCATATTGTAATATCTATTCTACCCCATATTTACCAACATGGCTGGTTGATGCCCGAGGATTCGTTGTCGCAACCCCGCTTCCACCCCTCGGCGGCGGCGGTTTCCGCGCGACCATCCGAATGCAGTCGGCATCAACATCATTGCCCGCGCGCTCGTGACATGCTTGCCCGATCACGCGCCCCTCGCTCAGTCGCGGCTGACTTTCGGCCGCCCAGCAGCCCTATCGCGACGCGACGAATGGTGCCGCGCGGCGCGGATAAATGAAGGAGGTTCGCAGGTGGCGCGCGCAAAAGCCAATGCTGACACTGCGCGCGGCGACAGGGGTTTTCCCCGGCGCCTCGGAGGTAGAGCTGCCATTCCTGTCATAGTCCCATTACTATAATGGAAGGATGCAAGCGCGCATCCGCTCTGCATGGCGGCCGCGAAGGTGCGCGCTGCTTCTCTACGATGAACGTAGCGTGCATCGCATCTGCGCGCCTGCCCGGCACTTCCCAGGAAATTTCAAATATCCAACCTTCGACCCATAATTATTCACGCGGCCCTCGCGCTCCCAATGCGCAAGATCGACGTCGAACCGTCGGCAGAGTCGCGCACCCCTCAAGTGATCCGGCAAATCCTGTCGGACATTGCCGCGCGCGCTGGGCGCCCAAGGCCGCCCGGCGGCGGTCGGGAGACGGCGCCGGGCGGTCCGCGAGGGGGGCCTTCAGCGCCAAGGTCGAAGCCAGCGCACTTGATGACAAAGATTGGGATGCATTCCCGCCCGTTAGAAAGGTCGACAGGCGACCCCAATGGCTCCGTCGCAATGCGAACTGCATCAACGGAGAGCGATTGAAGGGCGCAGGTGCGCTGCTGAGCTGCAGCGCGCGCCTCGCTGCGCACCTGCGCGCGTTCGCGGCGGCCGTTGCCCCTGGCGCCGTGGAAGGGCATTGGGGGATCGGGGTGAGTAAACATGACTTGACTGGATATCCGAAATGCAAGTTCCACGTGGATCTCGTAAACCCGTAGCGCACTGATATATCGCGACGTTGTAGCCGTGATATCGCTCCTCTAGCGTGCGCGAAACAAATATCTCATCTATGCAGATGCCCGTCGGTTGTTCGCGTGCCCAAAACCTTCGCAAGTCACCCCAGATCATTACATGGCGCCGCGAAAGGCGACGCGTGGAAACGTCTTCTTCATGGCGCTTCCACCAAGCGTTGTAGTTGACCTCGGCGATAAAATCAAACGGCAAGCCTGCGGCGCGGCACGCAGGCGCCAGGGTCGCCAAGCCTACTCAGCACGTGCGTAAGTAATGTAGCATTACCTGCTGTACCATTCCACTGCCAAGGCCCATGCCACCGCGCGCGTCAATCTTGCCATCCAACGAGGAACGACGCTCGAAGGCAAGCTGAGAGATGCCTCTGGCCCCGCCGCAGGGCTCCAACATGCCGAGCCAGTTGGGTCGCCCGAAGCATAGCGTCGGAATCCGCTGGCCCCCCTGCGGAGCCGCCAGGCTGCGGGCTGCGGGTTCGCTTTTCCTGTTCCAGCTTCCAGCTTCCACTGTTGCAATTCTGCTTCTGGTTGCTCATCCTGCTCCTCGTTGTAGACCGCGCGAAGTAGGGGGTCGGGAAGCGCCCGGATTACAGCGCCCGAATCGCGCGCCCTGAATTCCCGGCGGGGGGGGGGGGAACGGTGAACGCGCGCAAATGCTTGCAACTCGCGCGCCCGAAGCCATGCGCCGTTGTAAATTACCAGATACTTGCGCCCCCGAAGCCATGCACCCAAATGGATCATACAATATTGGCGTCCCCGAAACCTGAAACCCTTACAACATACCCCATGTTCGTATCCCCGAAGCCATAAACCTTACTATATAACTTATAATGCTCGCGCCCCCGAAGCAACGAACGCTCGCGAATCGCGCCGTATCTGCGCCCCCGAAGCCATGGCCCCCTTGTAATTTACGCTATAGTCGCGTCTCCGAAACCATAAACCGCGGTGCACGACGCAACGCTTGCTACCCCGAAGCCATGCGCCCTCGCAAATTGCGCAATAACCGCGTGTCCGAAGCCATAAACCTTAATACAGTATTTGATATTCGCGTCTCCGAAGCCATATACCTGCTTGAATTGCGCTATCCTTGCGACCCCGAAGCCATGCGTCCTTGCAAATTGCACATCATTCCCGTTTCCGAAGCCACAAGCCGTCGAACCACAACACGATTACGCATCGTCTTCGCGCGAAGTCCTGACGTTGCTTCACGGCGGCGCCAAGGCCCCATGAGTTCGCTCTCGCACTGCCCGTTATCTGAGGGAGGGGGCCAGCGGCAGGGGGCGAAACCCTTGCAGATCATGTTAAAGATGTCGGCGCGCGTCTCCGCAATTGGCCTTTCCGCAGACATCGTGAGGAAGACGTATTC